ATTAAGAATAATGGAGTTTTGGCTTGAGAATTAGCAGCAGTTACTGTCACATCTTCCTCATCAGACAAGCTCGTGCGATCGAAAGCTCGTCCTCGCGTATATGTTGACTAATCTCTCCTCGAGGTGGACGTGCAAGTCGTGCCTCCCGTCTATGACTACGTTGACTTTTTGAAAAATTGTGGAGAACTCTTTTCCTTGGAATATTTTTCGCCTGGATTCGTGAACGAATTAGAATTCCTAGTAGCTCGTGAAGTTCTTTTTAAAAAGCGGATCCTCTTAAAGAGCACAATTAGATATGTCACCGAACCAACCCACCTCATTTGCCTTAGGGTGCATAGATTCGTGAATATTTATCGAAGGTGATTTAATTACTGAGAGTACGCTATAAAGTAAATATCGACTCGTTCGTTTTTCTTTCATAATATACGAAATGCGTGTAAAATAGAAAATCATTGCCTTAAGGTTTGTGTTCAACTATGCTCGTGAGGGAGAATGCAATAAACGGATGAACGGATGCATGAACGGATAATGGTAATTTTCGTAAAAAATAGTATTGGACGTAGCTTTTACAATGGTAAATAATACTTTAGACGATATAGTCTTTTTTTCTTATTAAAAGCGTGGAATGTGCGTCATAAGACAAACGTATTTTTTCTTTCATATATATATAGTTTTTTTTTTTATGTACCGGATGAAATGTCGAAACGAGGGAACAATGGCTCTTAGAATCTTAAAATCTTAAAGCTCCTTTCTAAAGGTGTAGGTTATTGTTATATATATATATATATATATATATATATATATAATTAAAAAAATTTATATATATACTTTAATAGCTGTTTGTATAAAATTTTATAGTTTTGGTAAAATTTTCAGTTTTAACTACTGATATTCCATCGACTTGTTCATTTTCATAAATATACCGATTGCTACAGTCAATGATAATTATTTAATAATATTATTTATAAAATTTAGTTGCAGAATTATGCGTACAGAATATTTAATACACATAAGCATTTTTCATATATTTCGAATGATATATTACAATTTTTTTTAATGATTGTAACTATTTTAAGAATCATAATCATAAGAAATAAAACACGATATTGTCTTTCTGTAAATCTCATTTTATTTTCAGAAATGCATAAATTGAATCTTTATACTTTTAGCTATTATGCAGTTAGCTATTATCTCTTTAAGTAATATAAATCTCGGAAATCTAATTATTAGAATGAAAATATTTAAATGAAACAACTAAATACAGATAAGTCATTTTCCCGGAATGTATATTATATTGTTATGTGTATTATATTGTATTTGTCTTCTTATACGATTGTAAACTAATTAAACCATAAGTTAAGTTTTATCTTATATAGTTCACGATTTAAATAACATGAGATATAAAATATAGTGTTACATGGTGAATTTTTAAATGTTCAATAACGAAAAAGGTTTTTGGTTAATCATTGAGTTACCATTAAAGAAATATATTTCGAGCTTGATTAATAAGATTGCAATAATCTCCATTCATAAAATTATTAATCAATCATATTCTCAAACTCTCTTGTTCTCTATTATTTGTCGATGGACTCAACGAAAGAAAGCATTCAAAAGAGAAAGCCGCGCCCCTATCTATGTACGTCTCCATCCTTAATTTGTATACATTATTCTTTTATTATTTTTTGTTACCATCTTGTCCTATTATTTCTTTTCCTCTTCAACGACGAATCAGTGCATATTCAGTGATTGGAACGCAAAAAGTTGTATTTTTTAATGAGAATCCGCACTCAAATGCTCTCCACTCGTAATAACACATTTATCTACGTTTGCTTAACGAGATGATACCGCATCGGGAGGTAGAGAGGGGAGGGGGGGGGGTGTAAGATTCAAGTACCGAATCGTTTGATTATTGTCCAGCGCGTGTTTACTCGCGTACTTGGTAATTGCACTCATTGCTGCACAGCTCCCAATCGTGTCTAGTGGCTGTGGCGAAATAAGTTGCCTCTCTACCCATATATACTCGATAACCTATATACGTGACCTCCCTCATACGAGCTCACATGTGTGCGTGGATGCGGAGGCGCGCGTGTGTCGTGTTATACACAGAGAGGTGATTTGTTCGAGTTTGAGCTCTCGGGCAAGAGAACATAGCGTAAAGGGCAAGGGTGGAGCAACAAGAAGGGGTAGTAAGGAGCAGGAGAAAAAGCGAGATGATATTATGATAAAATTTCAAAGTCGGAAAGAACATAATAGACGAGAAAATAGGATTATGAGAGAAGAGAATTAATTATCATTATAGATTATTATTAATTATTAATTATTATTTGTTATTAATTAATTATCATATAAGAATTAAAAGAGAATTAAGTAATAATCATTCGGAAAGAACGAGAAAAAACTGGAGAAAGTATAAACTGTACGAGTATGGGCCAAACTATTATCTGCCAACTATTATTATCGACTACTTTACATATCGAATATCAAACATACGAATATCAAATATTTAAGAATCTGAAAGTGGCATAGACTTTTTCTATTTATATATTTATATTTTTTTTAGAAAGAGAAATTGTTCGTATATGTCCGAGCTGTTTATATAGATGGAGAATATAAACATGTATTTATCGTTGAAGGTGTCTCAAAATGCCGTATAAATTGATGAAATTTTACTTTAACATAAAATAAAAATCTATTGCAGTTGAAAAAATTAGAAGAAAATTATTTTCTGTTGAATACGAAAATAAAAATGCTATTCGTTTTTATTAATGGTTTAAAATTTTATAAAGATGAAGAATGAGGTGCCTGAAGAATTAAAATTTTTAAAAATCAATTACATTTTTTTACAATAATAGTAAAATATAAATATCAAAACATTTCGTTTTAACATTTCTTGAATAATATTTACTTAAAATTACCGAATTTCATAATATGTAAATCATCTGAATGATGTCAATTCAAAGGGGTAACACAAATTTTTTATTAAAGTAAAAAATTAAAAAATGTCGTTTATAATATTATAAAAGATTTCAACAAGTTTGGAATAATTGTTTCTAACATGTTTAAAAGGAAAAAATTCATGTACGATCCAGTCATTACTTTATATTCAAATATCAGTCAAAAAAGGGATTGAGAAATTGTTTAACTTTGATAATCTCGATACAATTTCAGATCGTAAAAAAAATTGCTATGTAATCTATTTCGGAATATATTTCAAATTGTTTTTCGAAAATTTCTCATTAATATTTATTAAATAAACAATATTTTATACCAAAGATGCTAATTCTCTCGAGATAAGTTTATCCCGTAGACACATTATCAGTACGTCTTGCGCTCGTTAACTATTACCAATAGTTTGCTTATTCGAATTTTCATAATTACAATTACATGGACAACCTTCTATTATATATTAAACAGCTTATGTAATGACGAAAGTAATCTAGCAATCGAAAATTAAATAATGAACGGATAAATGCTTATGAATTTTAAATAGTCGATGCAGTGGAACGTTGTGAAAGTGATTTACTATAAAATTTAACATGCTTTCGTTTCAATAAAACAAAAATTCTTTTACTATTTGACTTTTATGATTAAGAAGTAACTTAATCGATATTCAGGCTCATAGTAAATTCTTTTTACATACAGTTGTTCCTTTGAAAAAGGCGTATTTTTTTTTTTTTTTTTTTTTTTTTTTTTTTTTAGTAAATAATGTATTCAATATGTAAAACGAAGAGTATAGAGTATTTCTCAATATTCTAACATACTTATTGCAAAGGGAATAGTATTTTTTTTCTTTTGCAAGCGCTTCAAAGTATCTAAAGACGTTTTTTATACATGAGTTAACAGTTGCAAATTAGTACGTAATGCACGTAACCATGATATAGTTGGATCATTGGCGAATAAAAAAAAAAAAAAAAAAAAAAAAAACAATAAGTTTGATAAAATACTTCATACCAAGTCGACAATAAACAACAATGATAAAGAAAGAAAAAGGTATTAAACACTAGATACGTAAAATTACAAAATATTAATAATTCTTAACATTCATCCTATTTAATTATCAAAAAAAATTTTTTCTATCAAGTAAAAAATTAAAATTTACATTACGATATATTATAGATTATAATTGTAATTGAACATTCATAAAAATTATTAAAAAAGCTGGCTTCGAAATCTGCTCGAAATTCATTATATTTATCATTGTTCGCAATATTTGCTTTATAATTGACACGAACGACATCAATTCAAATTAATTGTAAAATAAATAACATATTAAATGAAGATTTTTCAAAATGGAGAATGGTTTTTGGGAATAGAGTATAAATACGCTTTACTTAATTCCTTCTCGGCTGTATTGATTTCCGGTTTTAAAGGCTAATGTTTCCACGTGTGGAAACACGATGAGGCATGCAAATTAATTTGCAAACAATGAAATTCTTTCATTTTCATTTCAATAATCAGATTTCTTGATTAATAATAAATATATTAGAATATTTTTAGTTTAATATTATTTTGTCAAGCCGTGCACGTAATTTTCATGTAATCAAGCGAGAGTTTATGTTCCATAAATCATTTCAAGTATAAATAAAATAGCAATAAACGTAATAAATATTCCCTTATAAATTTTGAAACAAATTTTATAATTTTATATTTTAATAACCTTATTTTATAAAATTAAAATGAAATAAATATATCATATAAAAATAATAATTCCTATAAAAGTAAAAAAAATATATATAACTTATAAAATAATATGAAATAATAAGTTAAAAGCATCTTTTTTTAAAAGTGATTTTTTAGATTACAAACAAAAGTATTTGTAAAAGAAACATTGATTGAAAGTTGTTTATTTATAGTACGCTAAGCCATGTTGATTTTCGCACTTATTTTATTAACATAAATTGAAGGGGACGTTACAAATTATGACTCGCAGCTGAATCATATTCCATAATATTTATCATATAAAATTAGTATTTTAATAGTTAAACCTAATGCAATAATATACGTCAGTCATTAAATTAAGTTAATACTGTTTGTTGATCAAAGAGCTCTGATTGCACAGCGTTGAGGAACATTGGTACACTATGCTGACGTTGAAGATGCCGCTCGATTAATGTAGTGAGGGTTGCTGAAAATGGCGTTTCGATCATATTAACGCCGTCCTCGTTAACGATGAAAAATAAGTAGTCATCTGGCGATTCAGCATATTGACTTGATAATTTGTATTGGCTCTCTTTAGTTCTGTCAACGCGCCACCCGAATAATTGGTAGCAAGCTTGTCGATACTCGTGCGAAGAAGCTTTAAATGCTTCTTTTAAGCGAGTAATTTTAAGTTCGTGTTTCTGCTGAAGCTCGGAGAGTTCTAAAAGCGTAAGTATTCATTGTTTGATTAGATAATTAAGCAAATCCCTTCGTTTTAATAGGCTAAACGAACCTTGCATTTGTAAGGAAGAAACAGTCGGAATACCGGTATGACTTCCAGAAGCAACGATAGTTCTTAGTTGTTCAACTTCTTCTAATAATGCCTTCCGTTTTTCCTCCGCCTGTTGTTCAGCTATGGCTGCTGGGTTCATTTTAAAATGTAAAATTCTTGAATTAATATTAAAATCGCCCTTTAATGCACGATGTTCAAATTCATTTCTTAATCTTTCAACTTCTTCTCTTAATTTTTTACATTCTTCTCGCTGACCTCCACCATCAACAGCTTCAAGATCCGATTCAAGTTTTGCAACCAAATCCCTAAAAATAATTAATCAATAGTTTACGACAATCCTATAGCAGTTTATGTAAATGCATATGCAGTCGATTGAATTTAATATTATATTTCATGGAGCGCTAAGGAGATATAACGTAACCTTTAAGTTGCCAGTTTTTTCTTTATCATATTTTAATATTATCAATCATTATAAATATTCAGTGTAGAATTTACCTATAACTCTCTATAGCGCGTTCCAAAGCCGGAATTCGTTCACTTATTATATTTGAAACTTCTCCACTTTGATATCCAGTTATTTCTTTTTCGTATGTATCAAGTTGTTGTCTGTAGCTGTCTAGAGACATTTTCTTTTGTAATCTGCTTATGAATCTTGTTAGTCTTTCATGAGAGGTTGTTGTTTCCGTTAGTGATTTTTTTGTGTCTTCGCACTGTTGTTGGTAATTAATTAATTCTCTCTGGATAGATTCTACCCTAGATCTTAACTGACCTTCATCAGCAGTCAACAGAGCTTCGGCGTGTTGAAGTCGATTTATTTCCCGTCTAATCGCAATAGGACCACCAGTTATTCCAATTGTCTCGTATTCAGTAATTTTAGAAAGAAGCTCGGCTCGCTGAATCTCTAATTGAGAAACTTCTTTTTCAAGATTTTCAGTATGCTTTAATCTGTAATTTATTAAGTAAACAAAAATTCCTTTATATTAAATATCCTTTATATTAAAATAAAACTGCTCGCTTAATGCTCGAGTCCCTACATACCTGTGCTCCATACTTGACATTTGCTCTTCTAAAAGTAACTTTCCTTTAATAGATTCTCTCAGAGATTTTATTATCTCTCTCGCTTGATATAATTCTCTCTCAAACTCGTTTGCTTGAGATGCTCTTTGAGCAAATTTTTTCCCCTCTTCCCATCCTATTTTTTCTGATTCAAAGTTCTGAAGTTTCACTTTTAAACTTTGTACTTCGATACATTGTACTTCATACTTCTGTTGAACACTTCTAGCTTCTTTGAGTTTTTCTTCAAGTTCTGAGATTCGATTATTACTAGCTTCGAGTTTCTCATTAAGTTCTGCTACTTTATCTTCTGAATCTTTATTACTTTCATTAGCATCCGTCTTCCCTTCGTTCCTAACATAACCTCGAAGTTCTTCCGAAAGCCTATTATTGTCATCTAATAATGCTAAAATCTTTTGCTCCAGCTTGCTTTTCACCTAAATAAAAAACAATATACATTTTCAATGTTCCATTTGTTTTGTAAATTAACACAAGTATGCAAATAAAGTATATAAATAAACCTGAATTAGCTCTCGTTCAGCCTGATTCTGCGTAGCTTTAGCATCTTGAATAGTTCGTCTACCAACGTCAATGCGTAATTCCAATTGCTTAATCATTTGTTTATCTTGATCTACTTGTATTTCCAATATTTTCTTTTCCTTTTGAAAAATCTCTTCTATTTCACGACGAACTTTGTGCAATTGCTGAACCCT